ACCCCATTGTTAGGACAGGTATACTTTTTGTCATTTAGATATATGCATTTTGGTGCATTTGAACAAAACATTGTTTATAAAACAGAAATATTTATTAAATTAGTATTTTAGTCACCAAACATATTTAGAAATGGAAAGATAATACAATTAAATTAAAAAACATTTCAAGCAATTTTTTTCAATTTCTTAGCTTCTCTTAATTTTTCCTCTTTTTTTCAAATTTGTGTTTTATATTTTTCTATAACATATACATTTGGCTGTACTAGTTTTTGGTCCGTTATCGTGAGTTAATTTGTTAGATTAGCTCCAGATTTGGCTTCAGTGCTGACTAATCTAATGTATATGTACAAATATAATATTGTATAGCTTCCTATTAAAATGTTAATTTAAAAGAGATTTGTGAGGGGTGTACTCGAGTATGCTGAGCACTGTGTTTATATGTAAGTTTTTAGGTAAAAACTGCAGATACAATGTTTGGACTGCTAATTGAGCTATGTAGACAATTGCCTTCTCTCTCTTCCTTGTATGACTTCCCCCAAAACTCCTTAAAGGTTCCTTCTGTTTAGATCCTCTCTCGTGTTGTTTATTGTGTAGTACACGCGTAAATCAAGCAAGCTCTGCATTTGAAAATGTGACACAAGATTCCTCTTCTGCTTTTTGCAAGAATGGAGATTTCTGTCAGTCTGTTCTATCTAAAAAATAACAGAAGATCCACCCAACATTGAAAAGTAGTAGTTCTTAGTGTTCACAGCTGAGGGCAACTGCAGTGCATGTGCATCCCATGATTTATTTATTAACATAATAAAAGTAATAAAAGATGGTGTCAAAAAATCACGTAATTGTGAAACTTATACAGAATTCAGAATATGATTTCAAAAAAGTTTTTTTTTTAATGAGAAATAGTTTTTAAGTATAAAAAAATAATGGGGTATATGCCTAAACATGCTAATAGGACTTTTAATTTGCCAGTAACCTGGGTTAAGCGCTTCCGGCAAATTGAATGCCAATGCAAAATCCGGTGCGTTTAAGGTTTGTTTTCTTTAAAAATCAGCGATCTCCACTAGCTGAGTGATATCCGATTTAAAGTGGGTCTCAGATTGTACAAGAAGCACTGCATTAAATTACATTTCCCCCGTCATATCTTTATAATATAAGCATTTATTTTACTCCAGTATATTCAATGGAGCTTCTGCGTTAGCCTGCCGATTCTGACGGGCGCATGCGAGTAAACAGCTTTTTGTCTCGTTTTACGCTTAAGCAACTAAATAAATGCTAAAGTTTATTTAACTGAATGTATTTTAATGACATTACAACATCGATGCTCTATAAGGAACCGTATAAAATGGAAAAAAGTTCACAATAACAGGCCACCGGAAGTGTATCAGCATGGGAACAGCACTAGCTCTGCATATACCCTATTAAGCAAAAGTACAAAAGGAGGAGAGCAGTTTCTACAAATAATAGCCTATACATTTTACATTTACTTATTTAGGAGAGACTTTTATCCAAAGCGAATTACAAGTGAGGATAAAACAAGCACTTCAAATAATCAGAGTGCAGTATATACATGATATGACTAAGTATTTATTTTGTTTTATCTTTTTTTCTTCAAGCGTATAAAAAGAAGAAATGGTGTCTTACTGGTGAAAAATCTAAAGTTTTTTGCCAGAAACATGGAGTGTTGAAAGTGAAAGTGTCTGGTGCATTAGGAGAAGAGAGAGTGTGTCCTACAGGTAATTTGTTAAGGCCACTTACCTGTATGGAGCACACTCAGAATTGCGTAATGTTTTGGGACATGAATAATTAAGTACCATTTTTAACATTCATTTCATGACATTAAACAAGAAGTAGCAATTGTAACTGACTGTTTATCAATACATTTCCAAATGTAATTTTTATTTTTTATTTGTATTTTTTTGAGAATTGCTGGTCTGTTCTTGATCTGGTTTAGGGGGTTTTGACTATAACACTAGTTGTTTGTTGCTGAAATTTGCATTCACTTTCCCACTAGACTATATCACATCACAGGCAAACAAAGTTAATGGTTCCCCTCTGACTAGCTCCACTGGATACGACACACACAGAAAAGCTGATGTCACCTACAGTATGTGGCAACAGAGAATGGGACTTTCTTAAAAACCGTTCTGAGAGACACTCACACTAAGCTTCCTGTGTAAAATCCCTTGCAAATATAACCTCTTCAGAGCTGCACACTTGTACAATATGTGACTTCTATGTATTCATCAGTAGTTAACAAGAAAGATTATTGTTTAAGGGCTCCTCTGATGCAAAATCAACTTTTGGAAGCTGTTTAAATAGAACTGTGTGCATGTATAGTGTGTCTACTGTCAAATTTAAGTGATATTAACCCAACAAGTCTCTTTTTTTAAATTTCAAGACGTTAAAATAGGATTCAAATCCCAGTGATTTTGATGCTGACCACAACGTGACGTAGGAGTGTGGTTTTCCCCGCCCACCGAATTGATCTACAGGCGCTTATTAACATGTCCCCATAGTAATGCGTATATAAACAGGTCAACTTACTTGGCATTTTTGACTATTGAACTGGATTTCTGCTTCTTCCGTATCTGTCGCTGTCACTGACTGCTGTTTATCTAACGTAATGCAAGAGAAAATGGAAGAAGGAAGTGCGAACGGTGGGTGCTTTAAATGCAGCTTATTTGGATTTAAAGGCACGAAAACAAAAACAGCTACACTTTGATTTGAGCTCAAAATAGGCATATTCTGCTAAATCTGATGGGTAATTTGAGCTGAAACTTTACAGACACATTCTGAAGACACCAAAGGCTTATCTTATTTCTTGTAAAAATGGTAAATTGGTGTCGGCGCCGGTAGCCTAGTGGTACTGCGCGTTGACATATAGCACCAGTGTGCTCGTGGCGACCCGGATTCGATTCCCATCTTGAGGTCATTTGCCAATCCTTTCCCTCTCCCTGGTCCCAGTGCATTCCTGTCTGAATTCTCTACTGTCCTATCAAAATAAAGGTAAACCCCTAAAAAATAATTATTAAAAAAAAATGGTAAATAGGAGCTCTTTAAGGGGATAGTTCCCCCAGAAATAAAAATGTACTAATTTAATCACCCTCAGGTGGTTCCAAACCTTAAAGGGCCATGAAACCCCCTCTTTTCAGCAGTGTGTTTTCACACCTCTACTTTGGAAAAAGTCAGAAAAGTGGGCGTGTCCAGCTCTGTTTAGGGGGGAGTGACGGAGGAAGAAAAGCGGCTTGGTATGGGAGTGTCTATTTGGGCGCGCTGAATTTCAGAGTCAAAACACACACCCACAGCGGACAATGTGACTGTGTTTACATGGACATCTGTAGTCGAATTATTTGCCAAATTATTAAATGGTGGACTTTAACTGCAGTTTGGCTCTTTCATTCAGGGAATTCATTCATGGGAATTCATTCATGTCCCTCCCGACAAACGTGATATTTGATTCGAGGCGCTGCTCTAAGCGTGTATTTTTCATGCAATGTTTGATACCGCACGGCGAATGAGAGAAAAAAAAACTCAGCATTTCCCGGAAACTTAGATACACACGGCAGGTAGCGTCAGAAAGCCGCGTGTGTTATTCCGGTCACTAAATCCTACACGAGGTTATAGTTTGGTTGTAACTGTTAGTGCTAACTATTGCACTCGGTGCAATAGTTTGTTTGATACGAATAAAATACAAACTGAATAAACAAAGAGCACTGGTCGCTCACTTACCAAATCTGTAGAGACAGGACAATCACCAGCAACTAGAGCCGCGTCTTTATTTAGAGGAGACTACAATCTGGATCTCAGCATTTGCAGATGAGAACAGCTCTCAGGTAAACAATAATCCTCCTTAGACACGTAAGTTATTGTTGTCGCGCGTCGCGTACACTGTTAATCCACACGTGAGTCTGCGCTCTCACAGAGACAAAATGAAAACGAAACTTAACTGCAGCAAACTATAAAAGCAACACTTCACGCTTGTTTTGCCAACACAACGTGGCGTCTTTGCCGTCTACACTGTGACAGTAATGAATATTAATGAAGTTGCACAATAGAGCGCGCTGATTGGTTTGAACCAAGCCTTACTCATGCATTAATGCAACACACTGTAAGACGTAATAAGACTCACTCTGGCACAGACGCCCAGTCTGCACGCTGGATTACAACGCTATTATGTCATGACCGTGACGCAGCTTCAAAAATTCGTTTCAAACAGGAAGTACAAATTTGCTTGAAATAACGCAAAAACAACCAATTTACACTTTTTAGTGAAATATAGGTGTCCTAATAGTGTTTTTAGCAGTGTGGGACACATATACGACTGTCAACAGCTCAAAAAATGTGTTTTGGTGTTTCGTGACCCTTTAAGGAATTGCTTTCTACCGTTGAACTCAAAAAAAGATGTTTCAAGAAAGATGAAAACCAGTAACTTCTGACTTTCATAGTAAGAAAAAGAAGTACTATGGAATGATTACAGCTTTCGTAACGATTTGAAACAATTCAAAGGAGAGTGAATGGATTTTTTTGGGTGAACTATCTTTTGGCTAAGACTGGCAAGAGAAGAAGAGAAAGCCATTGATTGTGTTTTGGAAAGATCACCAGTGAAGGGGGCAATTATTTGCGGAGACACACCAAATGTAGGTCAAGACACGCGGGCTTGCTTCCTCCACGCCGCTCGAGCAGTTAATCAGCTTTAGTTTTTTATTAAAAGAGCCACTGGACACCAGACTAATTCTGTCTCAATCTGCTGGGTTTTAGCATTCATCGCCACCAGCCCGGCGGACGTTTACACTCAAGCTGGTGTAATTGCGTAAACACAGCCGGACGGGCTCTAAGCGTGCTGAGGATGCGATGTGTTCATAACACGCAGCTTTTAACGTATGTTGTTCTTGTTTCCCTCCCATCTGTTTTATTCTCGCTCATCCATCTTTCAATCAACCCCCCCTCCCCATCCTTCCTTCCCCTCTTTATCTCCTCTGCCTTTTCTGGCTGTCTCGCAGACAAGCATAGACTTCCTGTGGCAGGTTCTTGGTGCACCACCAGCAGTAACGGTAGCATTCGTCGCACCTCCTCTTTGGACGCACTCACAGCCCCTTACCTGTCTGGACACTGGCCCCGGGATGCCAGCCACGCCCCTTGTGCCCCATGCATGCGGGACAAATCTACTCAGGTGAGCCGTTTCCCTTGCACACAAGATATTATTGCTCTGTTTTACAAGAAGTTACCAAATATCTGACACACACACCTCCTGTCAATCAGCCATTGATGTCTCTTCGAAAACTTTCCACCTAATACATACTTGCATAGACGCGTGTTGTGCAAACCAGCTGCATGAATCACCTGAGAAAGACTTGCTTTGTGCAAACACAAACCCATGAAAACACCACACACATGTCTTTTGAATAGCACAGTCAAGTCCAAGCCTTCTAAGCATTAAATCTGGTTCCCGTTGCACCCTCAAATGGCTCCAAAAACAGGGACAGCATTCTTTTTATGGGAAGTTATAAACAAAGGCAAAATTATTCAACAATACTTCTGTTTCTCATCAAATGTTCTGAACAATCCATCTCATGTACTTTTTCCTTGCTATAAGCTCTTACCTTCTGGTAGAAAATATAAAACATTCCACTGGGAGCAGAACAGAATTAGGTCCAATCCCAATTATATTTTTGTACCCTTACCCCTTCCCCATGGCCCTTACAACCAAGTGTGAAGGGGAAGGGCTTCAAAATTTATCCCTAAGAAATGGGACAGCACTACAGCACCTGTACACGTCATTATATGCCATCACAATCTCTTTCTTCATATCAGATCAGATGATCGCGTCTGCTGTAGTTTTTCCAGATGCGTTATTTATTGCTATTTATCTTCAGGAAATCACTGAAGGCATATATTATGTTATCTTAACGATCTAATATGGCAATAAGATCGTAACTATACTGTGCATTTACACAGTGGTCATATTTATCTATGTAAACACACCAAAAACAACATTAACATTATAGCAGACACTGTAAAAAGGTCATTCCCAGCCACTAGTGACAGGGTATTTGATTGTCATCGAGTGTTAGAATGTTGTGGAACTGCTATACAGGAATTATGATTATGGATTATAGATTGCGAAATTTAGCGGTTTTTATTTTAGCATTTAAAAAAAAAAGCATGACGATAAAACACAAACATGGTTATGAATATATTAAAGCATGTGTTTGTTGTAAAAATACGTACTAATTATAAAAAAATACAAATTTGTTGATCTCCTTACTTCCGGATTCAGCTATCCTGCCGTAGTGGCTGGTGTATTCTGAGAACTTTTCTTACCCCTTGGTTTCGAGTGTGGTCTTGAAAAATCTCAGTTTGAAATGCTATCTACCCTTTCCTCTTAGCCCTACGCCTTCAAGCTGAAGAGAATTGGGTCACTCCTACCCTTCACGAGAACGTGCAAAAGGAGGGGTAGGGGTAAGGGGAAGGGCTAAGGGGTAGATTTAGGATTGGGCCTTAAGATCTCTTATCCCAGTGTCAATCAGACTGCTGAACACTGATCGATAGTGGGCATATTTTAGTTTGTCTTCATATATATAATTTTATTGTGTCAGAACTTGTTGAAGTTCAACAAACAAACAAACAAACAAACAAATGCTCTCTAGTATTATACAGTATATGCCCTGCCCACTTCAAGATGCTATAGCTGATGCTAAATTTGGCCATTTATTCACATCTCAAAGGGTGTTCAAACCAAGGGTTTGGCTAAGTAAAGTTTATTTATTTCGAGAGGATCGCATGCTTACGATTAACCATGACTCGTCCTGGATAAGCTAATGCGTGATCCACCAATCAAATGATTCTTAACTTCCCTATAAATAATCAGAGTTTCTTCTCAGTTACATTTGCCTTGAAGAATCCCCCTTTTCCTTGATGGGGTGGCATGGCAGCCCAGTGGTTAGCACTGTTGCCTCACAGCAAGAATGTCACTGGTCAAGTCCTTACCAGGCCAGTTGGCGTTTCTGTGCAGAGTTTACATCTTCTTCCTGTGCTTGCGTGGGTTTTCCTCAGGTTCTCCGGTTTCCTCCCACAGTCCAAGGACATGCTACATAGGTGAATTGATCAAATCCAATTGGCACCATAGATGAGCTCTCAATCAGCAGTATATCTCAATAGCAATCGCTAATTTGCTATTAGCCATAAATAAGTAGAGGAGTTCTCCGGACCTACTGTACGTGAGCTTAAACTCCCCTCTCGCCCTGCAAACGTGAGGGGGCCCCAGGATCAAGGATCTTATGAGTTCCGGGCTCTCTTCCGGGACAGCATGCCAAACTCACTTTATTATCATTAGCTAAGTGTGAACTCTTGAAACACTTGCAAATATAAGAAAATAGTAAACGGTAGTCTAACTGTGGTAATCTGAACTCATTATTAGTTGTTTTGAAACATACCTTATGTCCCACTCTGTCTTGTTTCAGTTTAGGTTGTCAAACATTTAATAAAAATGCACATTTCATAGCACTTCTTGGCACTTGTAAAGACTTTTTCACTCAAAAATGAACATTTATTCAATGTTTACTCACACTCAAGTGGTTCTAAACTTTCAGTTGAACACAAAACAAGATTTTCTGAAGAATGCTGAGAAAAAGCAGTTATCGATGTCCATAGTAGGAACAAAATTACAATAGAATTCAATGGCTGTTTTTTCCCCCAACATTCTTAATTTTTCTATGTGTCCAATAGAAGATAATAGGAACTGTTTGGAACAAACAGAGGATGAGGAAATGATGGCAAAATTAGCATTTTTGGTTGAACTTTCCCTTTATCCTAGTTCTGCATTACCAGTTACTTTTATTTGTCATGATACATTAAACTGATCCTAACTAACAGAGAAGATGTTTAGACTGTTATAGAAGTTTTAGATTCCCAGCTCTCTGGAACAGAACCATTTAGGGCCTTGGATGACAGACACAGTATGTCCAAGGCAATTGTTTTGAGAGAGGACAACAAGATATATTTCTAGTTTCAACAGTATTTGTTCTTTTAAAATTCCTCTTTAAAAGATCTATAAAACATTTCGGCTGTATGCACGGTGACCCACATTTGGTTTTTGAGCACGGATCAGATGAACAATCTGTTGAACATAGGATGCAATACAATACTACGACCTTGATGAGCATCAATTACATCTTTTAAAAGCATTTTCAAGACACCAGTCATTTAAATACCACATGTCTGTTTCAAAAAATATGCATTATTTCATATTTGTAACTTGCTGGGAGAGTCAACATTATATCACTTTTACTCGCCCTCATGTCTTTCCAAGCCTTTCTAATTTGACTGCCTTTCATCTGAAACAAAAAACTTTAAAAGAAAGCCTCAGTGTTTTTTGGTCTCTATAATAAAGTCAATAGGGGGTTGATGTTGTTGGCCTGAGTGAACTTTCATTGTATGGACAAAAATAGCTTTTGAAATCGTCTTTCATGTTTTACAGAATAAATAAAGTCAAGCAGGTTTGGGAAAACTTGAGGATGAGCAAACGAAGCCTGTATTTACATATTGGGGTGAACTGTCCCTTCGAGGCGAGATAAATTTAGCACAATCCTGGTCAAGCAAACAAATATTACTATCATGTATTAAGCTTGATTTATAGTGCGCCAAAAGAATAATGCCATATGGGCACCAAAATAAATACAAATTTATTAACGGATGTGTGCAAAATAAACACCTCTCAAAACAAACTGTCACTCTTTTTACCTCTACTGTGGTTAATGAGCAGGCCACAAAGATGTGTTCCCACATGCACACTCTTGCCTTTGCTTATCAGCAGCTATTAACATCTATTACTGTGTTATTTTAATGCTGTTCAGACACAGGCGTTAATTTAGCACTGCCTGGAAAATTTGGCTATACAAAATAGGAGAAACGTTGTGTGAAAGTTATTATGCATGAAATAAAGATAGTCTGTTGAGAGAGAGAGAGAGAGAGAGAGAGAGAGAGAGAAAGAGAGAGAGAGAGAGAAAAGGAGGAAGCCTCTCCCTGGTTTGTTGAGAGATGAGAGGAAACTGCGGCATATTTCTGGTGAAGGCAGACCGTCCACCATCAAGCTACATTCTTTCCTGGAGCTGCCTGTTTTTTTCCAACCTATTTTTTTCTTACAGAAACACTGCAGAGCCAGTCCATATCTGAACAATAACAAAACGTTCACACAAACACAAACGACACAGGGTTTACAGGGACACTCCATAGATGTAATATATTTTATACTGTACAAACCACTTATTATATACCGGTATGACCCTACGCCACCCCTAAATTTGGAATTTCAATTCAATTCAATTTCAATCTTTATTTCTATAGCACGTATGCAATGTAGATTGTGTCAAAGCAGCTTAACATAGACGTTTTAGTAAATTGAAACTGTCAGTCCAGTTTATAGTTGAAGTTCAGTTTAGTTCAGTTCAGTGTGGTTTAAATTTCACAAAACACTGAGAAAAAATCCATCAATGTGCTGCTCCACAAGTCCCAAACCAAACAATTGACAAACGTGAAGGAAAAAAACATCCACTGTGAAGAAGCTGCAGGTGTCTGTAAGTCACCACTGGGTGTTCAGGCTGGCCCACGGGATCAATGCAGAATTTCAAATTCAATCAATGCGGTTAAAAGACCTCATTAAGTATGATTTTTGAGCCATTTTGAGTTACACATACTCTAGGTCTGTCCCTGTAAACTAGCTTAATCGAGTGCTACTAAATCATACCCATGTTATTATACAACTTTGTGCCTCTGTAAACCACATAAAGTTGTACACAGAGAGACACACTGTTACAAACTTTAATAAAGTTCTAGATCTAGAGATGTTCGCACCCGCGTGAACCTGCCAGAGGCCGCTGTCAGAGCGACCTTCCGCCTGTCTGTCTGAATGAACCAGCTGACCCACCCTACTTCTTCTCTAAACCCAACCAGCAACTATTCCCAAAAGCCGTCCAGAAAAAGAAAAGCCCCGTCTGATTTTTACCACGTTTTTGGATTTTGATCACATTCTCACCCTGTAATCTCACCCTCTTTGCGCCTCGAGTCCGCCGACGTACATGACGAGCTAACCGGACAAACTGGTTGCTGCGGGAAAGCCCTCCGTGTGAGCGGCCGCCCCGCAGCGTTCGCTTAAAAAAAAATGAATTGCAGCCA